GAGCATGTATGTATAGAAAAGCTCTGTAATAATAAGGTGTCATATATATAAAGGTGTCCCACTCTCCAGCAGAAGGAATGCAGCTGGAAGTAGACAAAGAACAACTAACTAACTTATGTATGTGTCCGTATGTTCTTATGAATTATATTGTAATAGACTGAACAAGAGAGAGTTAGTCAAACCAGGATATTTTTCAGAGCTTCTTATAAGTACAGAAGAACATAATGCTGTATTAGTCATCATTAATTGTCTTCTGAGCATCCCACAATTAAATTTATGTTTGGAAGTGAAGAAAGTGTTGTCTGCCCAACAAAAAAGATGAAAGTTAATCTTAGTAACAGCAAAAATAATTACAATAAATAGACATATTCTATGTATTGAGTCACTGGTGAGTACAATCCCACAAATGAATTCTTCCTGTAAGTCTGTTAACTGCTGGGTATTAAGTAGTACTGTTTATCTACATGCAAGTCCCACAGTCTGGTTTAGTGATTTATTTCTGTCAGTAAAATTTCATATAGTTTCCAGTCAAAAGAAGATTACACATAACTGGAATACTACACATAAATGGAATATGTTACAGCAGATTTGCAATGTATCTTCATTGTATGCCATGTAATGTATTAATTATATCAGAGTTGTGCCATTGCTGCTTATTTATACATCATCATTGGACTATATCCACTTAAAATGTGAGAGGACAAGTGTCTTTGGGCTCACAAATATTTATTGTGTAATTATTTCAGGTGTTGTTTTGTTGTTTTGCATTAAGTGGTGTTATCTACCTGATGATGCTTACAAATCGTAGTACCAAATGATCATTGTTGTAGCTGAGTTTAACTGCACTCACAATGCTGCAGACACATTTCAGAAATGGACATATAATTATTGAGTTTTGATAAGTAAGTAATTATGTTATCACAGATAGTTTTTTGTTACCTCTGAGAAGCAGTCTCGTGTAGTATTAACTTTCAAGATGGTTAGCTGAATAGTTAAGTAGATAAATATCTACATGGCAATGAATGTTTATTATATCATTAATTCTTTTCAATCTTTAATGTAAAAAAGTGTCTTGGAACAAAATATTTTCAGCAACTGTCCAGTAATTGTCTAATCTTAGCAACATCTACATGTGCAAGCAAACTTGCAAATTTGAGTCACTTTTCTCTATTTGCTATGTAAGATTTTTACTCAGATTTGAAACTTTAATTCTGTACTATAACTAACTATATCTTCTCCTACAACACTTTGTAATTTTGATGATACTATTTATGATAATGATGAACATATGTTCTGCTATAGACTGGTACCTTTTGCAAGCAAAATTTCCTACAAAATTGCTACCATGTATAAGACACAAAATTTGTCTGACATCTAAGTTAAGTGTTACACTGCAAAATCTTTAGTCCTTGATATATAAGCAGGTAGAGCTCTACGTATGTGGTGTCAGCTCTAGGAAGAGCTTGCCCTAGCATATAATTATCCCACCACTAACTACTTAAATAAACGTACACTTCAGGGATTCATACCACTCTTGATTGAAACAGTATTGAGGAGTGGAAGCTGCCTGAACTCTCTTAGAACTTCTGTAGTCACAAAATTACTCTCATCTGTTAGTAAGTTTGAATAAAAAGTGTTTGGGGCTGCTAGGGTTTGAGTTCAAAGAATAGCTGTGGTTTGCCAAGGCAAGAAGTAGGTAATTAAAGCAATGTTTAGAGACACACTGAAAGCTTCAAAATGGGGCAACTTTAAGGCTAACATCTTCTAGACTGGAGAATAAAGAAAGTGAAAATAACCCAAGAAAATATTAATGCAAGTCTCATTGAATCTTCTAACAGCTCCTGAGAGTTGTATGGTAACTGCAGTTATTATCACAAAGCTGACTGTAAGAATTATTTCTGACATTTTCAGTGTATTATGTGGCTGTGAGTTGCCACACTAAACTTGCTCAATTCACAAGTCAAAACAAGACTTTATTATAAGGCTAACAGTGCAACCACAGTCAATTGTCTGAAAGTTGGCCATTGCTGTTGCTTCATACACCACCAATAGAAACTAGGGTGTCTATTACAGTTCTCTTGGTGAACAGGGAAGCAAAACAGAATTTACTTTGTAGTTCTGCAGTATATTGAGTCACTGGTGTTAATGGTAATGACTAGTTTTGTCTAAGAGTTAAGGAGATGTGACTTCAAAGACACATGCTATAGAGGTAGATGCAGAAAATAACCAGGTAAGTAACTTCTGTAGGACATTTTTTTACCTTAAATATATGTTAAGTTGATGTATTAGGCTTAGTATTTACTAAATATTGAATTTTACAGATAGATACTGAGTTGTTTCCACAGTGTGTTAGGGATCTAATGTTCCTTAATAAATGTGTTTTTGTTTATAGCTGTTGTCTCCTGAACTACATGCCCATTATGAAAAATGTCTTGGTTACACTGTTAGGTCTGCTAGGAAGTATTGATTCAGTTATTTGGAGGTGGATGCTACTGACATCAGTCCAATTTATTCGTTCTTGTTTTGACTTCCAGCACTTATTTGTCGAGTGAAATTTCCCATCTTTGAAGTAGTTGATTCTGCATTATGGCTGATTTGAAAGTTCAAAGAGACACTCAGTTGTACAGCTAATATCCAAACAAGTCATCATTTCTTTTAAATTATTCAGGACAGGAAAATTTCCATTCAAATTATTTTTCTTATGTAGCTGACATAGTTTAAAGGTCGAGTAGAAAAATTCTCATAGTGTGCATTATTTTCAGAACTGATTCATGGGTGTAGTTGGAGGTCAGGGCTGAGCCAGAGCAGTGTATTGCCCTTGCCATCAGGAGTGGCACCATCTGCCTATCCCTCCTTCTCACCTCCCCTTTCCTCTCCCAAACCATACCTTACTCAGGCTGGGGTGTGCCCTCCCTGACTCCTGCTGACTCCTGTCAGTGCTCATCTGAATCTACGGAAGGCTAGAGTGATGAAAATACATTTGTCTTATTTGCTGGGAGAATTTTCTGCTTGGAGCCAGCTCCTGGTGCCCTCAGAGAAGAGCTGAAGCCCAGCAGAGGCAGCGGCAGTGGGGTCCCACGCCTGCAAGGAAGAGGAGGTGAGGAAGAAGCAGACTTCCTATTTTAGCTGTAGCCGACTTTCAACTGACAGATCTCTACACCTTACTAAACGACCTAATTTATTTGGGTGTTTTGTTGTTGTTTTTTTTTTCGTGGTCTAAAACTGCATAAGCATTTAAGAAACGGAGAGATTAAGGGCTTGAGTTTCTGTAATTACTGATCTGGGCCAGAGCTGGAGTAACCCAAATAATCTGAGGATGGTTATTCCGCATTCACAGCTGCACAAATCAATGCACCTGCAGAAGCAATTTATGAAAGCTTTATGGTAAACCCCAGCTTTTTAGTAACTTTAGTTAGTGTTGGCTGTAGATTTTGGGGTTTGGGTTGTGGGTTTTTTTCTTAATTGAATCAGCAAAGAGAATATTTATCACTCCCTATAAATGGTAGTGTGTCCTTGAAACAAGTGTTTGAAAATACTTTTTAGAATATATTTTTACTAATGCTTTGAGGTTTATTGTGCTTAAAAAGTACATCTCAAAATCTTGCAGGTATTTGAAAGTTTCTAAATACTATCTGTGAATCAAGAGAGTCTGTGTGATCTAGTAATACATATTTCTAGAGTCAGGAGTAAAAGATGTATTTCTATCCCTTTTAGCTAATATCACTTTCTGAGAACAGTGGCAGCAATACAATCAAAGAAAGATGACAATAATAAAAAGCTCTCCTCAGCTAGAAAAGATACTGCTGAGAATCAAGTAGCTTTTAGTCATGGAATGAATTTACTCCTCAAGTTTTGAAGGTTGAAAACTGACTATATTAGGTCTTGTAAAACATGTCAACATTCAAATAAAAGTAACTGCTCGGACATGATCTACCGCAGGCTTATGTTTTTGGTATTGAGTATTAGTTTTTGGTTTTGTTGGGTTTTTTTGTGTGGTTTGTTTTGGTTTTTTTTCACGAAAATAGGTGTTAAAATACTTTGTTAAACATTTTATGTCACTTTTGTGATCCTAATTAACTTGAAAAAATCTATCAACCTAAAAAAAGTATTTTAAAATTGAGTCTGTTCAAGGTATTTGACCTAGGATACCTCTCTATACGTAATCTTTCTGTCTTTGTAGCTGGATATTTGCTTCACTGATCCTGGGAGGGCTGGGCAAAAAACTGAGAATGCTGACTCAATAAAACCTTTTGGAACATTCTGGCCCCCTAACCTATGAGACATAAACACATGAAAGTAGTTAAATTAATTCTGCATTTACTTTTTTTGGAGGCAGAAGTTTATCCTTTTATTGATCTACATTTACTTCACATGATCACTTATCTAAAGCTCTCTGTGCTAACTGCATATTTCTTCTAAACCGTCAACAGAAGTCAGCACCAAATATTAAATATTTAAAATATATTAAAATTAGAAATATTTAGCATAATATTTCAAGGAAAAAACAGAAAAAAACCCACTGCTGTGACAAAATTTTCACAGAATTCTACCTGATCCCAAGGAAATATCTTTTATAACACATTTGTTGGAGGTTTTTGCTTGCAGTTTTTAGTTAACTCAATCACCCGTATCTCCAGCCATATACTTTGTGTCTAATCCTCTACGGATGCTTTCATTGCTGCTTGTTTGTAGTGTATGAAATCCAGTTTTATGTTAAGTTGGTGGATTGCTGATTTGCCAGCATGCCATTCTGGATTGGGCATTTATGAATTGTTTTTAAGCACCAAAGTGGACAATGAAAGCTTTATATCAGTTCCCCAATTAGCAGTAATCATTCTTGTTAAACTTTCGTAAAGAGCTGCAGTATGTGATGAATGTAAAGTATTCATTCCTAAGCTGTTTCTTTTTTTTTCTTCTTTTTTTTTTTTTTTTTCTCCCCCTGCATTTCTACATTTTGTCAAGTAGTCTTATGCTGCTTGTTATTTCTGTTCATATTGCAGATTGAGAATGTTGATGTCTGCCTTAGCTTTCTGGCAGCCAGAGGCGTAAATGTCCAAGGTCTTTCTGCAGAAGGTAAGAGAAACCGCTTATCAGAACACGTAACAGGATTTATTTTTTTTCCCAGAACCTAATTTTTCAATACCATTATTTGCACCACCTGTCTTGAAGAGCATACAAATATTGATTAGTGATAGCAAATGAGAGAGAAATTTAGATTTTCTTTTAATTTTCCCTTGAAATTGAACAAAAGAAATTCAAGTGTGGATGAAGCCTGACACCATGCTTTAAATAATATTTTTTTCCAATACTGTTTATCTTTTTATGTTATCTTCACAGTATTAGATAGGTACAGAGTTTTCCAAGCATACGTTTAAACTTGTTTACATAGTAGATTCAAAACAAAAATAAAAATAATTAGAATCTTGCTTGGTAAAGTAAACCCAGGGTAGAATGTTTGTTTAAGCACATTTATTAGTAGTAGTAATGCTGTCAGGATGAGTCTAAAAATTATTGTATTCCTTTGATGTAATGAATTAAAAGAAAGAGTGAATGGTCTTGTGCAGCATTAGTGACCTCAAGTGACTGCCTAATACAGTTATAACTGAGTTAATACATATGTTAAATCAAAACTATTAAAATACCAATTGTTGTAATTACTATGTAATATTTGTCTTATTAATATAAACTTAAGTCAGGTGAATACTTTTATCTTGTAAATTAATAAAATTTATACAAGTGTTTGTCCTGTAAATAGTTAAGTAGTTCTGCAAGGCTCTGTGCACCTTCAAAATCCCTTTGATTTCCACCTTAGCAGAAATGTAACATGGTTACAATATATACTATCTACTAACTTTAACTGTCTCTATATGGAAAGCTCCTTATCTGATTGAAAAGAACCTTTGTAAATACTATGGATATGTTGATGCATGAGAACACTGAACATTTATAAATGATTGTTCATCTGTAAGCTGGTGGGCTGTTTTTTGTGCAGCCTATTTTTACTTGCATATGAAATGACAATCAAATGTGTGAATAAAATGAATTTATTTAATGATAATATTATTCATTGTTTGATACCATGACATGGTTATGACACTTTTTTTGTCTATTTTGTTAAATCCAAATCTGAGGGCATTCTGCAATAATGCCCTTATTCATACCTTTATTTTGCTTTGGAAAATAATGTAGCATTAAGTTTAAATGCTACTAAAAGCAGTAACACTACATAGTGTTAAATGTAATTTTAATAAGACAGACCTTTATTTCTGAAGTAAGTTTAAAACTAGTTTTGCTGTTTACAGTTGATCATGAATCTTGTGTAAATCTGCTAATATGTTTATACTTATATTAGCTCAGAGTATCACAGAAGTGTGATTCTATGATTTTTGTAAATATACCGTTTTAGCATGTACAATGCTGAATATTACCATTTCTCTTAAGGAGAAGAAATTGAGAAAAAAAGGAATTTTTTTTTAAATAATTAAATGGTCACATTACCTTCTGAGACTTTTCTCAGCATATTTCTCTTTAAAATCAATTAAGTTTAGAAACTGTAAGGCTGTTGCTTGTCATAAGATTTGGTAAATATATATTGTTACTACTGGGTCATTTATTAATTTATTCTAGAACAACAAACCATGACCTTTAGAAGGATTGAAAATTTCACAACCAGTTTCCCACCTCATTATGGCACTTGAGCAAGGAGGTCTAGAGGAAAAGTTATTTTCAGATCTTGACTGCTGAATCTGCACTACAGAACCCAAATAACAATTAACAAGCCAGTTGCTACAAAGAAAAACAATCACTTCTCTTTCTGGCAAGTGTTTAGTAGATATTAGAAGTTTTGGAGTTTTTTTCTCTCTAAGGGAAATCAACCAGCTTTGACTCATTTAAAAGGAGGAAAAAAAGTTCAAAACTGATAGCATTTTTCTTTGGACATAGAAAAAAAAGAAATAATAGTTTAACAGAAAAGGAGAAGAATTTTAAGACAAAAATTATGAGTGTGATTTTGCGAACAGAGTTATTTTTCTGAGCATTATGTTATGCAAAATCATTATAATAAATAAATTAATATCAAGTATATAAAATCATTTAGATTTAGAGCAGCTTAAAGAGGGATGTGTAATTTTGTTGGGGTTTTTTAAAGCTAATTATAAGTTCTCTGTGTTCCTACACAAGGATCTTCCTTGAAACCAATGTTGACTGCAAAAGTCATTGTTGCTTAAAAAGCTTTCTAAATCTGAGAAAGTTCTGTGTAAGCCTGGTGATCTTATAGGGAGTCAAAGATCCTGCAGTATCTTCACAGGGAGAAAGAGAAAGTATGGATACTTGGAACAAATTTCTATTTTGCCAAGTATATTCTGATGTCCAAGATTGAAGCGGTTCCAGTGTTTTCTGGTGTGTTAGTGTATGTACAGACGTTTCACTTAATCCTATTGGAAGACAATTAATATGGTTTAAAGGGCATTAATATGACAGTTATTGTTTATAAATTATGCTTTTAAAGTTACTTAGGAAAGGCTGTGTAGTGCATACAGCTCAGTATTTAGATTTGAAAGCGGTTCCAGTGTTTTCTGGTGTGTTAGTGTATGTACAGACGTTTCACTTAATCCTATTGGAAGACAATTAATATGGTTTAAAGGGCATTAATATGACAGTTATTGTTTATAAATTATGCTTTTAAAGTTACTTAGGAAAGGCTGTGTAGTGCATACAGCTCAGTATTTAGATTTGCAGGGAAGGCAGAAATTTTGCAGATTAGCATGTTAGGTTATGAGGCCATAGGCCTAATGAAAACCTTTCAGTAAAAGTTCAGTGCCAAATAAAATTAATAATGAGGTTATGAACGGACCTAAGAGCTGCAGATAATTTCAATAAAACCTCCTGAGGCTTCTTTTTTGACACAGAGATCCTTTTTGAGCAAAGAATAACATTATCCTTTTAAACCCTTCATCTTAGGCTGGGAAAGACTAAGAAAGGAATGGGAGACATGAGGATGTTACTGTGGCTCACCAGAATTTCGTAAGGGTGTCTATTTTAGGCTCATGTGAAAGCTGTAGTTTTGAGGTCTTCATTAATCAGTAACAGCAGTGTAAAATAGAAAGATGGAAAATAATTTAGTTGGAAAGTTCAAAGATGTAATCATGATCCTTCTGGTCACCTTTTTTAATGTGGGGGTTTTGTTCCCATTAATCTTCTCTCATGTTCCTTGCAAATTGTTGTGGATGGGTATGTCCTTGCCCACAAGACTGATATCATCTCCTCTTTCCAATTTTTCTGGAAATCACTGTTTACTCACAGTGTTTGAAGAATTTGCTCAAAATGCAAGAAGGGTAATTTTTAAAGCCATAAGGTAGAAGGAAGGTGTACCTAAGGCTTGAAAAAAATCAGATTTTTATGAATACTACTCTGCTCACTGAGAATATTTATACTGTAGGCAGAGTATTCATTTGAGGTCATGTCTGTTCCTTAAGGCTTGGTGTATTTCTCTTTAGGACCATGCACATGTAACTCATCATGAGGACATTATGGATATATGTGTTGCAACAGTGACACATAAACAAGCAAAGATTATAAAGAACAATAAAGTATCGGTGATACCTAACATGTCCCTGATACTACAGCTAAATTAAGACTTAAAGGCATAAACATGTATAGCTATAGGTATGTACAGAGTTGTTTCAGTGTAAAACTGTTGTAAAACTGAAGTCTAAAACCGCAGTGTTTTCAGTTCTCTTTCTTTTTTTTATTTTTTATTTTTTAAATAGAAATAAGGAATGGAAATTTGAAAGCCATTTTAGGGCTGTTTTTCAGTTTATCTCGGTATAAACAGCAACAACATCATCAGCAACAGTACTACCAGTCGTTGGTGGAGCTACAACAGCAAGTCCCATCACCTCCAGCTGAAAGCAGCCAGTCCAAAACGCACCAAGATATGCAGTCGAGGTAGGTTAAGAAGTTAATTTTCTCAAGTGCAAAAACTTTTTATTTGTCTGTTCAAAAAATACAAGGTTTTGCAGAAAAATGTTTAAATACTGGCTTTGTCCTTTTTTTAACTATATTTTCAATTGATATAGGAAAACAGTATCTTAAGTGTTTGTTCAGTATTAAACTTTTATGTCTTGAAGGTAAAGCTATAGGGAGAGCAGAAAGCATTCCCAATTAAATTTAATTCCAGTTCTAATTAAGTTTTAGGCATTCTTTCACTTTACTAGTGGTTCTACTGTCCTTTGCCTAATAAGTGATAGTCAGCACACCACAAGTGCTATTTTAATGTTTTCCAGTTCCACATGTAAACAAACAATTTGAAAAGATTAGCAGAATACATGGGGGAAAGGCACAATTAATAATTTCATTTGTTTGTTCTTGCATCCCCATGAGTTCTGTTTTTTAGTATCTAATTCTATTTGAATGGTTTCTTGCAAGGGAGAAGGAATGGTCTTAATCTAGTTGTTTCTTTTAAGTGGTTGGTTTATGGTTTATTTTTAGGAAAGCAAAGCATGGAGCAGAATCCTTAATTGTTGAATTATATTTTCAGATTGAAGCTGAAAGCATATTTTAAAAGGTAGTTGGTTAATGACCATGACAAAAGAATCAGTTTTACATACAAATATCTAATTAAATTGAAAGAGTATTGGCAACTTTATTGGAGAAGTTAAAATAAGCAACTGATATGTAGGACTATGTAAAGTATAGTTCTTGAATAAGAGTTTTATATATTGCTCTGATGGGTTTAATACTTGATTTGTTTAAAATACATTGCATACTAACTGAACAATTGTATGTCTAGAATGTGATAAATCAGTGATCTAGGATGGATTAAGGGTTTCAGAGTATGATAATGAAATTTTGGTTCTTGAGTTCATTCATACCTAAATTACACTTCCATGTTTATAATAAACATATTTCTTCTTCAGCTGAGAAAACTTTCAACACTTCAGCTTCATAGAAATCTTTGTTTTGAAACTAGTAAAGTTGTAAAAGTATGTGTATAGGAAAATGCTCGTGATGGCATTTTAGTAACCTCATTTTATACAAAAATCAAGCATTTATATTGAGCATTACAATGTGAAATGCATTTTATTTTCTTTGCTACTGAAAAATAAAGTATTTAAATGCTTTATTTGTGGCATTTTACTTTTAACGTAATCTAGGGAATTACGGTATGATCCTAGAAAAATCTGACCACTCTCAACATTTTCTGAAGTTGAATTTCTGTTTTCTGAAGGATATAAAATACTGCAATAACATCTTGATATTCAGAAATTAAATATTTTTCCTATTATAAGAAAGATGTTTTGAATGTAGGTCTACAAGTGTTCACTTCTTTAATCAGCAGAATTAAGGGTTTACCCAGCTTCATGTAAATAACCTTTGGTTATTGTTTTTTGGTTATAAAATAACTGAAGCATTTCCTGTTTTTCTAATTTAGCCTTGGTGGATTTTTAATAAAAAAATAGTTACCATGTTCCATTATACATCACTACTTTCACAAGACATTCTCTTTGTCCAAAAAAGTTTGGAGCAAAGCACTTGTATATTTGGATGACAGTGATTGCACACTAGGCCTTTACCTACTCAGGAATGGAAGGCAAAGAAGGGATTAATTTTTTTATAAAGCTTTATTTTCATTGTAGTTCCCCAAGATCTCGTGGTCCATCAGTGCCTGTTTGTCCTCTTCTACTTTACTATGTTTAAATATGTTTCATTAAGAGGAAAGGCAATGATTCTATGTCCAGAATTCCAGCATTCATGCCCTCATAAAGTGACATCTAAGGCTTGTTTAACAAGATTTCTACTTCCATTAGTGTGCTTTAGGCCTTCTACTGTAATGCTAGGAGTCTAAAATATTTTCATTCTTTGATTAAAATTCTATCTGTAGCTATGTTTCAGCTGCAAAATGTTTCTATGTAAAAAATTATTACACCAAGATTCAAACCATCTTTTTTATTTCCTATCTATAAATTGGAAGCAAGAGTTATTCTGCTTGCTTTCACATATACAGAAATTCAATGTTTATCTCCATAAACTTCTGTACTGCCTTACAGAATATTTTTTTTCTCAATCCATGTGTTTTTCAGTAGGGGCATTAAGGATAAAAAAAGGTCCCTACTTCTAAAACCTTTCCTCTGTATGAAAAACCTTCTGCTACAAATATGTCCAGTATTCTGAGCTGCTAGCAAAACAGGAGCTCCAGGACCTAGAAACAAACAAATACAGAATATTTTTTAATACTAAATGGCTTTTTCATCACTGTTCTAAAGTAAAATTAGGTAATCAGTATAAAATAATATGTTCCCTTTTAAAAAAATTAGTACATTTGGAAAAAGGCTTTCCACAAATAGATGGGCATATACAAGTATACATGAACATGAACTCTGTGTGGTGGACTTAGTAACTCTTCTTCTAATACCAGTTGTTTAATTTAATTTAATTAATATTTTTTCCCATCAAAGCAAATATTTTTGACAATAACTCAAAATAATTTGTCAAAAAACTTTTTAATTTTGAGCTGTTAATGAGTGAACAGAAGATTCTATTTAGAAAGAAGACAAAATATGAAGTTAAGAAAATCAAAGATGCCCGTGATGAAATTCCTCTTGCCTCCTTTTTTTTTTCTCTCAGGAATGTGGACAGATAGCTCACATGACTCCCAAGAGTAGACAGATTTCTATGATATTTCTGTTTTCATGGCAACTGTCGCACTATTAATTACAAAAGGAACAAAATAGCCAACTGATTTACAGGGCAGGAGTACATGATCTAAAAGGTCCTAAGGAATTCATATAGCTTCTCCATGGGACACTTGAGACTTTTAGGTATTTTTGGCAAAAAGTAGTTTCATATTTAAAACTTCCTCTTTCATTAAACAAGGAGTATTGAAAAGTGATAAAATCTAAGATGTATAATAATGTCACATTCTTCTCATTTTCCATGTGAAATTATTAATTCAGTAATAGATAATCTTACTGTTAACAATAACAGAGCAATTTCTTCTTTTATTTTTTTTGTAAAGTAGTGGTGATAAAAAGAGCTATTTTATCCTATCATAGAGGATGTTAATGTTTACGGCAGTTTTTTATTGTATGTTTTTTCATGCAGCTATGCCTCTTATTATCCTGTTTTAGTTCTGAATATGCTTTTTAAATTCTTAATGCTTTCTGTCTTCTGACACTTTATATGCAGAAAAGGGTTGATGAGTAGAAACCTTAAGGCAGCAAATACATGGTGAATATGCAGGGAAAATTATTTGGCAAACACACAGGACAGATTATTTTCCATTAAATGAGTCTGCAGTCATTTATTACTTAGAAATTGTTCTTTGAGATTTTTGAGAGGAACAGGAAAAATCATCATTCTATTAGGCAGAAATCAGATAATTAATATAGTAGGAAACAGATGAATGGCATATGCATCTTTATTCAGTAACGACAATAGTCTACAAAACTAATTGGAGTAAATTGTGAAGTGTATTGTAAAAATTATGCTCTGATACTTGTGGCATTTTATTTTTCTTAAAGAATCATATTTTAACTATGTTAGATGCTTGAGAAAAAAAAAACTGTCATTCTGAGACACTATATACCATGACGTGTTTGGTATGTACCTTTTTGTATCTGTGCAGACATGTAAGCAAACCCAAAACATATATACTGGAAAAAGTGAATGCTTTTTATAAACTTTGTACTTATTTAAAATGTTCAGTGAGCAATCACATTTCATGTTATAATGTAAGTCTATAAGAATATGCCTTTGTAGTTGAAGTCGCTTTAGGTTAGATTATTCCATTGGGAAAATTATCTTCTTCATTTCTTCCAGCTGAAGTATATTAAGTGTATTTCTCAACTTCAACTTTATTCCCTAGGAGGTTAAAAGTCTTATGTGCTCTATTAAAGTAGTATGAAAAGGTGATGATGTCTACTGTTTCAGAGAGAAATACAGATTATACATGGGGAGATGTAAATACCTCTGAGAAGTCACATAGAAGATGGTCCGGATACAGCAATGGTAGCACCCAGGCTCTGGTGAAAACAAAGAAAGTTTTGTCTTTGTATGTGCAGGGCTAGTGTGTCTCCCTTCTAATTTGAAAAGGTGGTCCTGATGATGGTGATGATGATGCTGACAATGATGGTACTGTCATCCTGATTTCCAGATTATAGTGTCTACAATAATGATCAATATTTGTGATCATTACTGGGTCTGAGTCCTTTCCACATGCTTCCATTGAAACCAACCTGCTTTAGTACCAACCTTAATGAAGAAGGGTTCGGGACCTTTGTCGACCAAAGCTGAAACGGTCATTTGACAGGGTCTCCCACAGCATCCTTGTAGCCATACTGAGGAAGTGTGGTCTAGATGATTGGGTAGTGAGGTGGTTCGTTGAAAGAAATAAGTCAGAGAGTTGTGGTCAATGTTACAAAATCTAGTTGGAGGTCTGTGACTAGTGGAGTCCCTCAGGGGTTAGGACCAGGACTGGTACTATTCAATATTTTCATCAGTGACCTGGATGAGGGAACAGACTGTGCCCTCAGCAAGTTTGCTGGTGACTCTAAACTGGGAGCAGTGGCTGACACACCAGAAGGCTATGCTGTCATTCAGTGAGACCTAGACAGGCTGGAGAGCTGGACAGGGAGAAACTTAATGAAGTACAACAAAGGCAAGTGCGAAGTCTTGCATCTGGGGAAGAACAACCCCATGTACCAGTACAGGTTGGGGGCTGACCTGCTGCAGAGAATTTGAAAAGGTGGTCCTGATGATGGTGATGATGATGCTGACAATGATGGTACTGTCATCCTGATTTCCAGATTATAGTGTCTACAATAATGATCAATATTTGTGATCATTACTGGGTCTGAGTCCTTTCCACATGCTTCCATTGAAACCAACCTGCTTTAGTACCAACCTTAATGAAGAAGGGTTCGGGACCTTTGTCGACCAAAGCTGAA